TGAATGCGTGACATCTATCAAAGAGGTCTTCCGCCTAAAGAGGTAGAAAATATCTCACTGGGATTCTTTAGAAACTACGAGCGATGAGGCTGCACATTGTCGGTGTAATGACTCAAAACAATTTTCACCGGCTCAGATGCGTTTACTCTTTATGAACTCACAGAGGTGAAATAAATCCTTGTTATTCTCTATATGATTATTCGTTCTCCTGAAAATTGTCGTTTATAATCGTTTCTTTACATTTCTTTACTTCTCTCCTACCTTTGCGTGTTCCTTTAGGAAGTGTGGCAACTTGACCTGCTGTATTTTTAAGGCAAACATCTAATTTTGAAAAATCTAGGATCAATTAAAGATAAAACTAGAGGAAGTGAAGAATAATGCAAAATATTCTTAGTTGGAGTTGAAATTTCCAATGATATATATACTGTCAGCTTATAACACTAATAGATAGTTCTGGTAAGCAGAGTATGGTAGTTTTATGAACTCCTATACACATGATGTAATTTATAACTCAGAGTAGTAAAATATTTATGAATGAAGGGGTTATACATTATTTTAATTCTAAACAAGTATGACAAAAAAACACCATCAGTAGTCTGCCATTTTGAGACTACCACCTGCTCATCTTCTTCTAATTCAATATTATTCGAATAAATAAGACCTAACTGGCAGTTGTTGTAATGAAAAATTAGCATTAAACAACGTATGTGGTCCATGGTTCAACTTCCGGCCATCGCACTCCTAAACCTCACTAAGCCAGTAGTAAGCTCGGGAAAAGCGGAAGGTTAGCTGTGAAGCTAGCAGTTCCATATCCATTAAAAATAAAACAATTTCTAATGGAACTTTGAAGCTCAACCTTGAAGCCCGACGTTCCACTCCAAATGAAAAGGAACAAAAAATAAGTAAACCAATTTTTTATTAAAGCTTGATTCCACATGTATCTTTGGTACAACTGTGGAATTTTCAGCATGTGATATCGGCAGCCCAAATTTTTGCAGGCCAACCATTATTATCAGGTGTGCATCAGCAGGGGATCGAACCTAAGACCAAATGCGTGGTCGGCGACAGTTCTAACCACTGTGTCATCCATTCTGATTAGAATCATCATTAGTGCACATTACTAAAGACTTCACAAGTAAGATGATGAAATCTGTTCTCCATAGCATAGGTTCACTAAACAATGCCAATTGATTATGAAGATATAGCTTAGTGACATAAACACTCAACTTTCACTCAAATAAGGTTTTAAGTTCGAATTCCTGTTCAGCTACTTCAGTCTGATTAACTGACAAGTATCAGTAATCTCCGCTCATATCCTGGTGCGTGTAATATCTGTGTCGGGTAGCCGGATTCAAACCACAACCACAATAATAACGATACCAAATGACGTTGAAATCTACCATGAAAGCAAGCTAAACACATTACCCGTTCAGAGTTAAGTTTTTATTCTCGTCCCTCGAGTTCCCAGTGGAACATATAACACCGGAGCATTAAATTTTCAGTAGCAATGGTGTTGGTTTTCACACGATCGAGTTGGTAACCATAAACCTGACCTTTACTTGTTTCAGAGCTAACCATTGGCTAAGCGAAGTTTATGAGTGCGTCGGCTGGGAATCAGAGACAGACCTCCTGGGTGCTTAGTACGCATTCTACGATTAAAGAATTGACAATCAGATGATTATAGACCATTAAAAAAAGTTTCTTAAAAGAGATTAGATGATTAGAAGTAATCGACAGAAAGCCCTGAACTTAAGTTTCAAGATCGTTGAGATGCGTAAGTAAAGTATATCTGTAACTTTAAAGGAGAGTTTAGAGATATCATTCTTATGTTGCACAATCGGAAATAAACATATATATATATACATATACATATATATATATATATAATACATTTTCTTAACAACAAAGTGATTATTGGCAAAGATATAACATTAAAATTGTAGGTTTAGACATCAATTACATAAAAAAACTATTATTCTAGTGGAAAATTAAAAAACAAACTGAAAAAGGGTCAAGTCAAAATTAGTGACTGAACAAGCCTCTTCCATGTAGTACAGAGAGTTCAGGATCTTGGAGGAACTGGTAATCCCAGTGACATTGAAACTCGCATCACTCAGTGTCTCTCTCAGTCGAAGACGTTGCCACTGAGATGTAAAGATTTAAGATTAACTTCGTAAAGGGATATAATGGATACATTGATTGGTTATTACAAGTGAACATATAATACCATGAGTTTAATATACCTGATACTAGCATTAAAGATAGGACTTTCAGTGAGCATAGAGAAGACGGAGTTGATGAAGATAACCAACCAACAGTAGCAACAACAAGTACCAATCAATATTAACGGTCACTTTCTTCACTTATCTAGATAGAGTATCATCTCAAGTACTGACGATAGCACCAAAAGCAGAATCAGAAAGGCGACAAAGACCTTCGTCACTCACAGCTCAGTTCGGAAACCTTCTGCACTCACTCAACATAAAGAAAGAGATAAGAAATTTCAACACTAATGTGAAGTCAGTCAGTCATTCAATCAGTCTGTCTGTCTATCTGGATTCAACATAGAACTTGTCACCGAAGTGCACCAGTTCCAGTTGCCACCTTCCAAATAGCACACAGAGGTAGACAAGAAGATGAGTGAAGAGAATCAATAGAGTTTCACAAGTATAAGAGTGAAACAGAATGGGTAATGGTAGAAAGGAATATGAAAGATTACAGAGACTGAATACATGTGCGCTGGCCATTGACAACGATCTTGAGCCATGTCACCAGCCATTGTCTCCAGCCATTGATTCCTAGAGTCAGTCCCCAGGGCCCCAACCCGGAAGTCTGCATCTCCCTACCTGACCGACTCAGTTTAACTGTCAGGGATTTCATGGATTGATGAGGCCATGTTTTTGTTTGGCCACAACTTACTCTTTTCCAAGCTGCACCTCTATATCAGCTAGTAATGCCTGTCGGCGGAGGGAGGCGATGGTTAGGCGTGCGCAGCACCTGACCTAGCCATCTCAATCTACGTAACTTAATAGCCTCGTCGATTGATTTTCTCTCTTTGCCCAACACTCTACGCCTAACGTCAACACTACTTACCTTATTATACCACCTAACGTGGGAAAGAGATCGCAGACATCTATGATCAAAAACAGTCAACCTTTTCCTGTCTTCAACTCGTATTGGCCATGTTTCAGAGCCATAGACAAGGACGGACGGAGCGAACTGCTGAGCAGTGCACACGTCCCTTGGTTGATAGACGGATGTCACGCCTACGCCAGAGATGGTGTAAGTCAGCGAAAGCAGCTCGAGCTTTTTGGATCTGTGCTGAGATTTCGTCGCCAATCAGTCCGTTGGTGCTAATACAACTTCCCAAATAGGTGAAGTGGTCAACATGTTCTATCACTTCACTCCCTATCACTAAGCTAGGAGTTGACGTGGTCCAGTCCTGTAGCAGCATCTTACATTTTACAGGGGCGAATCGCATGCCAAACATACGAAGATTGCTGCTCAAGGTGTTCAGAAGACTCTGCATTTTGTCACCATCCTCCCCTAACAGGACTATGTCATCTGCATATTCTAAGTCCATAAGACTATTCCCTGGTAACAAGTCGATTCCTAAGTCGTTACGTTCAGTTAAGGATACTTCCATCAGGATATCTATGATGAAGTTAAACAGGAATGGGGAAAGTGGACATCCCTGTCGGACACCACTGGTTGTTACCTATTCAGATGACAATTCCCCATAAGCCCTTACACGGCTACATGAGTTTGAATAGAGTGCCTTGATTAGTGCAATGTACTAAAAACTACAGTAACTACTGATAGCGTGATAAGCATATTGATAAAATAAAATGAGAAATGGTTCTTATAAAGTAAGAAAGGCAAAACAAATGAGAGAAGGTATAATCGATTGAAATCAGACCACACGAACACACACAAACACACGCATACAGCGACAATAACAAATAAAAGCCACCGCAAGCAATGGCTAAACTAAGAAAGTTACGCAATAGTTTGTTTTTCAAGATTTTAATTATCTTTCTCTTTTTCTACATAGTGTGTCACAAACTAATTACTACTGATACAGAGACATAAGTAGATAGTTGATGCGATACATTGAGTGCCACACACACACACAAGCATACAATCAAAAGCGCTGAATAAAAGAACAAAATACACACTCAGATAAAGACGAAACAAATAATCAGAAAAAGAGAAAAAAGGTAGCCTTAATTATTATCCATCTATTCATGAGTTATTGAATAACTAGATATTAAATAGTTGGTAACCCAGAAATATACAATTACCAATCGTATACAACTTATACTAATGGCTAACCAGAAAGTCAATCAATGCAATTGTGTAGTTCCATCAACTGAAATAGCTAGAATATGTGCTACGCATGCCTAACCATTGGAGATGTCGTATTCTCACTATGTTACTCGAAGCCAGCATCAATTATTTCCCAATTCCAATCTCAATGAGAATATCATAACATCATGACTGAGAATGCAATTGAATCTGGAATAGGACGAAACCCGCTTGCTGGTCATCATAAACTAAGTGACACATTGTGAAAAAACTTGATTGATTTAAAGCTTAAATTCCATCATGCAGAAACTGACACCAACTGAATCCCTCCCCCTGCCAACAATTCATGCATAAACCCCCCGAAGTTTAGCATGGGAAGAGATAACTACCAGAGAAACTGGAAAGAAATACTGTTATCTATTAACAGCTGAAAGGATTTAAAAGACATTGAACACTGGCTAGAAAGTAGTAAGGTTTTCTCAAGTTCGACTCCCTATTACCGTCATCAGTGAATTCCTAAAATGTTCAAATCAGGGTCGAATCAGTGTGTTATGTTCTATTATTATTGTAATCAGTTAAAGGAAAGTTAAAAATCCTGACAAATCAATCAACAATAGATACGCTCATGGAAAATAAAAAGAAAGAATATAATTACAACAGCAATAGCAATAGCAAATAGAACAGCATTTTACCTGTTTTAATTCTTCATTTCCTGTCTCCAATTGTGCTAGTAATACTTCTAAATTAGCAATACGTCGACATATAAATGCTTTATTATCAATTGTTGCATAAGTTAAATTTGTTAACGCCATACATATATATCGGCGAAGAGCTAAACTATTCTCTAGTAATGTTGTTGTAACATTTTGATTGCCAATTATCAGTGAATTTGTCGCATTGACGCCAGTGTTATTATAAGTAGCAGGAGTATTAGTATTAGCACTAGTAGTAGTAGCACTAGTTGGAGGAGTATTATTGTTATTACCGCTAAACGGATTGAGGTATTCTGACCAAATGGTTTGTTCAATACGCAGTAGTGAGATAAGAGCATGTACACCACCTGGAATAATAATAATGACGATAAAACAGGAAGACTGGTAGACATAAAGGATATATAACTTAAATCTCATGCATACGGACAATGATTTAGGGGAAAAAAGAAAAATGAAAACATATGGACAACGAATAAAACTAGATCATTCTGAACATATTTCAGACATACATTATTATTATTCCCTTGAGTACCGAGAGGAACAAATTACCTCAGCAGCACACCCTATTCTTTGAAGTCTACTTCAGCTGGCCTCAAAATTGACTATCAGCTTTCATTTCCACATCATACTACCCCATCCATGTTATCCCAGGACGCATACACAACTCGTAGTTCCCGATTCCTCCTCTAGGCTAGGAAGCCTGATGTGTGACGTCACCCGATGGTTTCCTCAATGCATATTCAATACGTCTGCATTTCATCCTGAATACTTGTCGAGTGATACGATCTTGAATGGTTCGGTAGCAGAGTACATTGTTGTTAACCGATTCAAAGTCAACCATCTCATCTCAGCGCGAGCTTGTGCTAAAGATGTTGCCTAGAAGGAAGACGAAAGTTTCTCCATTAAATCAACCAGTTCAGAGAACACAATCGAATAAGAAAGGGTGATAAAGGTCTGTGACTTGTTGTAAATGCTTTCCGGGACGCACCAAGTTACTGAATCATGTAAAAGCAATGAATTGACATGTGTGTCGAAAACTCGGATCTCGTTCCTCATGCTGAATACAAGAGATGTCCATAGTGACTTCAGAAAAATGAATGCCTCTCTGCCTTGCATTTCTGAATCCACCTTTGACATCTTTATCGGCGCCACAAGCTGTAGTTAAAACGATGCTGTTAAAGTCAGGTGAGTGAAAGAAGTGGCCACCTTCAAATTTTTCCTGTTGATAGTGATTGGTCCCTGTTGTTGTTCGTGGTGGTGGTGGTGGTTATTTATCTTCACAACTTTTGTCTTCAATATATTCACTTGAAAACCTGTCTTCACTACTTCTGTGAATCTGTCCGTTTTCGCCTGCAAGTTTTCCAGTTTGTGTGACATTAGACATAAATCATCAACAAAGTCCAGACCCTCCCGTCTCTTCTCGTCGGTCCAACGTAAGTCCATCTTCCCGCTCCTAACAGTCTATTGCATGATTCAGTCTACACAATCAGGGATATCATCACTGGTAGTAGACAGTTCTTGTCTTACTTTTGCCTTCACTTGGAAAATTTCACGGATTCAGATACTGACTTTACACACCTAGGAACGATTAACTGTCATCTCCAATACCTTCATAAATTTGCCTCCAAATGGAATACGCGGAACTCGGAGGCACACTGTCATTGGACTCAATTTTTCTACCATAACTTTCAGTTAGCTCCATGACTATTTCCACAAGCATTTCCTTTGCTCCACCTCTATTGTAGCTAGGTTTGCTTCAATATCTTTGACTGGCTTCATATGCATTGACCTCTTCCAAGCTAAGAGTCTGGTTATTTGATACATTAAAGTTCATATCACCTATTAGAACTTTGATGTCAACCAAAACTGGTTGTAGTCATCTGTGAAAGTCCTCCATTTTTTCTGGATATTAGTGGTCAGTGAATAATTGTAACTTTGCCTGCCTCCTTTTGAGTTGAATCTTGGTTTCCAATGCCTGAAGACTATGGATGCTCTCAATGACATGTCAGTCACTCCGTCAGGGTGCTTGTAGTTTGTCATTTTGGTGACTGGCGTGGATTATTCACTCTCCGGTGAACAATATGAAGAGTCCGCTTTCATTACGAATTTAACTTCATAGCAGTTAGAATTGTATACTGACAAAGATAATAGTTTGATATGTGTTATAGTTACTTTAGCCTGTTAAGTTATACATTGATCTACTATTCACTTCCTCCTGAGCCTATTAATACCTTGACCGACTGACTTACCGATAATTATCTTTCAAATCGGAAATGCTACATTAGATAACAGTTACTTCACTTCACACAACACTACAAAAGATACATCAAAGACAAAGTTTGAATAGACAAACGTAACCTATCCAGGAGTAGAATTTAGGTGCTCTGGTAGAATGTATCCCCATACTATTATTGCTATTATTATTATTCCCTTAGGTTGCAAGTGGAGCATACGCCTTCAAAAGAAGATCTCCATTTCATCCTGTTTTCTGCAGTCCCCTCTAACTTCCTTCAAGACCACCCATAAGCTTACATCTCCACTTCACACGATCTCCTCTTCCATGTTACCCTCGGGATGCCCAATTCGTCGTTTTTCATGCGGCTAGTTTACTAACTGGTCCTAATCCCGGAAGAAGAGGAAGATTTTCAGAATGTTCCTATCTCGGAAAATATATCCAGTGTCATTATAGAAACTCCAAAGCACAATAAAAATATGAAGACTTATTCCCACAAAAGATAAGTTTATTTGACATAACAAGATGATGTTCCAAGCAAGATTTTCGGGCCCAAATACTATATCAGTGTACATTCACATAACCTCCGACACTTGCTATATTTATATTAATTCTACTCCTTCCTGTTCTATTCGTCTGCTTTCGACACAGAACTTTGCACCGATGTGCAACAGTTCAAGTCGCCACACTCCCTCCGTGTAGCACAAAAAGCAAAAGAAGAAAGTACAAGAAATGCATAACACAGACAGTAAACACAGGTGTGAGACAAAGGAATAGTAATAACGAAGAACATAACAGTTTCATTGGAAATCATAAGTCACAATGAGAACGATTTTGAGCCATGTCACCAATTGTTTCCTTTCATTAATTTTTAACGTCCCGAGGACCCCAGCCTGGAAGTCTACACCTTCCTACGTGGCTTAGACTAACTGTTGTGGATTTGATTGACTGGTGAAGCTATGTTTTGGTTTGACCGCCGCTAGCTTTTTTCCAGCCTGACCCCATATCAGCTAACATTGCCCGTCGTCGAGGAAGGCGATGACTAGGCGTGAATACGTAACACATATCCTAATCATCTCAGTCTTTGTAACTTCACGACTTCGTCGATTGATTTCCCCTGTTTACCTAGCACTCGACGCCTAACCTCAATATTGCTCACCTTATTATGCCACTTTACACAGGAAATAGAATGCAGGCACCTATGATTAAAGACAGTTAGTCTTTTCATGTCTTCCACTCCCAATGGCCAGGTCTCACAGCTGGCCATAAAGGAGGACGGAGCGGACTGATGAGCAGTACACACGCCCTTTGGTCGATAGTCGAACATCTCGTCTAGGCCATAGTCGAGGTAAACTGGCAAATGCGAAACGAGCCCCCTGTATTCGTGCTGAGATTTCTTCAGAGATCAACCCGTTGGCACTGGCTGATGGTACTTCTCAAACAAGTGAGGTGGTCAATGTGCTCTACCACTTCACCCCCTATTTCTAATCTAGGAGTCAGTGTAGTCCAGTCCTGTAACATCATCTTACATTTGACGGCAGCGAATCACATGCTAAACATTCGAAGATTGCTGCTGTTCAAGGTATTCAGAAGACTCTGCTTGTATTTTGTCAGCATCTTCGCCTAGAATGACTATGTCGTCTGCATATTCTAAGTCAACGAGACTGTTATTCCCTGGTAGCAAGTCAATCCCTGAGTCGCTGAAGTGAGTTAGGGCTAAGTCCATCAGTACATCTATGATAAAAATGAATAGGAATGAGGATAATGGGCATCCTTGACGGACACCCGTAGTCGTCACCACTTCAGATGACAACTCACCGTAAGCCCTCATCTGACTACATGAGTTCGAGTAGAGTGAGTGCCTTGATCAGTGCAATCCTGTTCTATACCGACACGATTATCAATAATGTTCGGGATTGCTATTATGTCTTATTCTTATTACACGTGTTTGAAGCTGAGTCGCAGATTAACATCTCACTTCAACCAATGAAAATTATATTCATAGAAAATGAGAAGCAGTACAACCAGATAAGACAGAAACACTATCTGCTTATTACCACAAAGAGCATGAATCTTTGGTTCTTCAAAAAAAATTCAATGGTTCGATAGTAGAATGTACACCAATCAATCAAATGGTCCGGATTCAACTCCCAACCAACGCACTTCTAAACCTCGCTCACTGAGTAATAAGCCCCCCAAAAAAAGGAAAAGTTTGAGTCTGAGGTTGGCAACACTGTTCTTTATAGAAAGAGCGTCACCATTAATGGAACTTCAAAGTTGAAGTGTTAAGTCCTGTGCTCCATAGTCATGCTTCAATCCTCATGAAATTCATTCTGGCGAAAATACCTGGACAGCAAAATCTCACAGCCTTTAAAAAAGAGTTTGTCTGTATGCTGTTAAAAAACAAGCAAACAAACACAAAACTATGAGGAAACAGCTAACCTGATTTAATGATATCTTATGCTGGAGAGAGATATATGATTCATTGGCTTAGAGTACTCGATATCCAGTCGAAGAATGCTGCGTCCGAAATCTGTTCCACCCACTTCAACCTATGGCTAAATTGAGTAGGTATCATTAGGTCTTAGCCAATGTATGTGTTTGGGTGTGTATTTAGCTCAGCCTGGATAGTTGAGTTTTACCAACGATGATATCAATCATATTTTCATGTAATCTGTTGTTGCATAAATGTCAAATACTTATAGCCTAATTAATTTACATGACATACACTTTGATTGTATCTAATGTCGATTACAACTTGTCACTATATACTGCACTACTTTTTGACAGATAATAAACAAAACAAAAAAATGCCAGGAGGGTATATTTTCTATAGAAAATAAAAAGATCAACCAACTGTCCAAAAAGTGGCGATATGATTAAAAAAAATTTTTTCAAAATAGAAAATAATATTTAGTGATAATACCATTATACAATTTCCTTTTACATACCTCTGCATTATAAATAAACTGGTTTTGTCCATACACACACACATATATATATACAACCATAATACCCTGATAGCTAAAATAGTTTCAAGGATAAGAAATTGAAATCAAAACCAAAACGAGAAGAATGATGTTCAGTGCCAAAGAAAAATACTGTCTATGAATGAACTGATATTTCAGAGTAGACTCAGCGGCAGATATTGTAGAGGGAGGCATAAAGAATCATGACTAAATGGGTATTTTCGGTGATTTGAAACAGAGGGAAGTTCATCTTTGGCTCTCTAACCGTTCAACTGCTTCCAAGAAGTTTGAAGGGTGAACACCCACGTGTGACCACTCTTATTATTATTATCGCTCCCTTGGGTTCCTAGTGGAACATAGGGCTTCAACTGCACGTCTCCATTTGCTTCTGTCTTCTGCTGTACTTTTCACCTGCATCCATGCTAGTCCATACTGTTTCAACTCCTTTTCACACCATCTCCTCCATGCCACCCTTGCACTGACGTCCCACTCGCCGCTTCCCTTGCGGGTTCCACTCGTGGGCTTGACGTGCGATGTCACCCAGCGGTCTCCTCAGCGAGTGACCGATCCATCTCCACTTTCTCCTGCATATCTGTCGGCTGGCGATTGGTTCTTGCTTTGTTTGTTCTCAGCCATAGTTTCTTGTTGGTGATTCTTTCCGGCCCAGCCATCTGATCTTCAGTATAGAGCCAGCGAAGACAGTTAGTTGTTGATAAAGGTCTGCAATAGCCAGTCTGTTGGAAATATTCTTTGTGACCCGCCCACCCGTCAAGTTTCTGATCCGTATAGAAGAAATGACTTTATGTTTGTATTGAAAATCCTAGCGAATTTTGTTGTTGATGTTGGCTGAGTGACGGAGATTTCCAGATTGATTTCAGGTTGATGAATGTGTTTCTCGCCTTCCCGATTCTCGCTCGATTTGACATCCTCGTCCGTTCCAACTGCCTGTAGTTGAGACAATGCTCCCTAGATCAGTGAGTGAATGAAGTAACTAACCTCTTTCAAATCCCTCTCGTTGATGGTGATTGGCGCTGGATGTTGCTGCTGTTGTTGTTGGTTGGTTATTTCCATAACCTCCGTCTTGTCTATGTTCACATGGATTCCTGTCTTCGCCGGCTGCTTCTTCGACCAGTTTGTCGGTTTTCGCTTGTAAGTTTTCTATTTTCTATGACATCAAACATAAATCATCCACTCGCGAAATCCAGTTCTTCTAGGTTCTTTGCGTCGGTCCAGGATATTCCTATCTTCTCGTTTCCCACTGTCTGACGCATAATCCAGTCCAAATTACCGAAATCTAAATATAGTTATTACTTCTGGCTTAGCGAGGTCAAGGAATGAGTCGGCTGGGGATCGAACCCCGGACCATGTGCATGGTCGGCAAGCGTCCTAACCACTGTGCCACCGACGCACAAAAGCGCTCCCTCGCCGGGAGTCGAACCCGGGCCGCCTGGGTGAGAGCCAGGAATCCTAACCGCTAGACAACTCTTATATAAATATGTATATCACTGCTCACCATGCTTGCAATACAGAGGGGTGCTAATTCAATCAAAAGTGAGACAACTGGACATCTTGTCAGCGCTTGTCACAGCATTTCATCAAATAAGATACTTTAGACTTCCATCAGATGGTCAGAAACGACAAGCAACAAGGAAAACTGGTAGCGAACCAACCAAGAACCTATTGGCCAATAATTATGAGGAAAGAAATGGTGACCTTCGAGTGAAGTCATAAGCCCAATATGTCCTCGAGTGTAATACGAATGTGAAGCGACGAGTTGGAAGTAGTTTCAAAGGTGATAAGGAAATCATTTAAACCGGAAATGAAAGTCTGTGTGGGGTTGAGGGCCGTGCAGCCAAGTGAAAATTATCTACAAAGAACCAAGTGCAATACTGATGCGCCACAGAAGACTTGAGTTTCACAAGGAAAGCAAAAGACTAATAATAAAAATAATAGTAATAATATTTCCGCTATCATATGCATGAGTGAAAGACAACTGTTTGTCAAACTGTGCAGTTGTGCTGTCCTTCAGATCAATCCGAATCATACTGAATTTAGTACACAGTCTTATTCAAACAATATGTTTGTTGTATAAACTTACCTAATTCACAAATAGCATTTCGATGCATTGGATCAAAGGATAGGCGAACAAGAGCAGCGACTTCAGCTACTGGACATGCAGCACATGATTCAAAAATAGACGAAAGATTATTTGTCCTTTTATCGAAGTTATTTGTTATCAATGCACTTACAATATTCTCATCGCCACTATTACTATCATTACTATTCACTTGTGTATTCGTATTTGTATTTGTCTGTGATATTCGTTCACTTAAACTTAAACTATAACTATGAATTGCTGTTAATAGTTGAATGATACTCATATCTCTTCCGTACAACTTTGGTTCTGGTTGACATAATGGAGCAAGTTTATGAATAGCCTAAAATGAAACGAAAAAGAAAACAAAAACAGAGAAAGAGGCTCAAGGTGTTGTTAATAGTCGGAGAACATAAATATATGTTGTGTATACATGTGAATATATACAAAATGCCCATATTATAGTGATAACAAATTTAATTGCTTTCAAGATTAGACTATGAAGTGATATGCATTTCAAAAGATCATTGACAATCAATCAGTACTAATATAGTCAAAAGATTTGCACTGTAATCTGAAGCTACTGAATTCGGCATCCGTTGGTGTGACGGTTCCATGCGTCCCCAACTAGAACGAAACACCTGTCCAGTACTTCTTGCTTACTAGCGATGATCTGACTAATGGTATTTCCATCAAATACCTTCTTCTTCTTCTTCATATCTCAAGTTCTGCTACTCCCGACTGACTTCCGAGACTTACGGATGGAATTCTAATCAGAGAATAGTTTTGCTGACTTACACCAAACGGATGATACAGTCCCCCTAGGTGAAGATGCTAAGAAAATGCAAAATCTTCTGAACACCTTGAACAGCCATCTTTGAATGTTTAGCATGAGATCCCACTCCTGTCAAATGCAAGATGATGCTACTGCACTCGACTGCACCATCGACTCCTAGCTGAAAAATAGAGTATGAATTGGTGAAGCGTATTGACCACTTCCCTTATTTGAGAATTTGCATCATCCCAGTCCTTATAGACTGACTACTGACGGATTCTCAGCACCAATACAAAAGGATGTAGACGTGATATCCGGTTATCGACAAATCGGTGTGTGTACTGCTCATAAGTTCGTTCCATCCTCCGCATTTATCGTTGTGAGACACGGCCATTGAATGGGGAAGATATGAAAAGGCTAGCTGTCTTTGACCATAGGTGTCTGCGTCCTCTCTCCCATGTAAGCTAGTATAATAGGGTGAGTAATATTGAGGTTAGGCGTCGAGTGTTAGGTAAAGATAGAAAATCTATCTATCTATCAACTAAAATGGCTATGATATGTGTTAGGTATGCCTAGTCATCGCCTTTCTCGAATGAAAACATGGAACCACTCTATGTAATCTTGAAACAGTTAGTTTGAACCAGCCACATAGGAAGGTGTAGACTAACTTCCTGGTTAGGATAGTTGGGATTTAAAGAACCAGTGGCTGGAGATAACTTGTGATATGACTCAAAATATTTTCCGATGGAACAGATACATTCATTTCTTGTGATTTAACATATCCATTAAAAACCCTGCTTATTTCCCTCACATTTGCACTTATTATCCTTCTTCTGAATCTATTTTCCTCTCTCTTTTTTCTATCCTTGTGTGGTACATACAGTGTGACAATTCGAGCTGCCGTACTACCTCGAGAAGTTTTATGATTCCCGAATCGACACCAGTTAAAGACTATTGAGAAACAGGGAGCATTGTTAATCTGTTATAATGTTATATAATCTTTATATATATATATATATATATATATATATATATATATATATGCGTGTGTGTGTTGTGTACGGTAGACAGCCTGTATACGTTATCCCCACACTCTGATAAGGTAATAAGCCTTAAGTGTAAGTCATTTTTTATTTTTTAATTAGATTAGTTTTAATAAGTGTTGGTTTTCAGGGATTTGGTTGGTTGTGGGTTTAATCATGAACTGTTATATCAGTTAGAGAGTCATCGGAAAACGAGAGGATATATATATATATAATGTTATCGTTATAACGTACCAACAATACTAAAACAACGATTGCTGTCGTCGGTAGTTTGCTTTCAAAGACCCATTTATCTGGATTCGTGTGACTACGTACAAAGTTATCACATAGATTATTTCATATGCAAGTGTTCTGGTTTATTTCAACCTTCACTGAGGCAATACAAACAGTCTTCCTCAAAACCTGTCTTTCCCTTCTTCTTCTCCTTGTTCTCCTAAGATTATTTTGCAAGTACTAGAGTCTGCGGGTGGATATGTGAATCAATAGTTTAAGCACTTGACTTTCAACCAACGGCTCCCAGGTTCGAATCTTGCCTCACATATATCAAACTGGGGGTGTATAGTCGATTGCCACTGGGGAACTGTGTTTTAAAAACGAAAACTGAAGTTATACGTACATGTCTTATTAAGTGAGACTATTGAAATCCCATTTATAATTCCAATATAATATGACTAAGAGATTGAACAAGCCTATGTTCCAGACCAGTGGGATCCACCAAGTCAGGTAGGTAAACAGTTCCTCGCTTATGAAATAAACTGGTAGTTGCGCAAATATATATATATATATCGCTAACGGGTATGTGTTGGAATTCATGGGCCATCGGATACAGAACGCGGTGATTGAATGGTCTAAGAGCTTCCCTTGTAACTGGAATGTCCTTGGTTGGAAACCCAGTGATGGATGAATGCTGATGAAGAGTTGCAAACTAGGATGAAACAGTTGTTCAGTATCCTCTCGTTTTCCGATGACTCTCTAACTGATATAACAGTTCATGATTAAACCCACAACCAACCAAATCCCTGAAAACCAACACTTATTAAAACTAATCTAATTAAAAAATAAAAAATGACTTACACTTAAGGCTTATTACCTTATCAGAGTGTGGGAATAACATATACAGGCTGTCTACCGTACACAACACACACACACGCACAATTTTTAATATTGTTTTAGAGGGATATGCATATACATATATGATGAAAAATGATCATTTAATGTGATATAATGAAAGGCTAAAGAAGAATTTCTATTAAGATTTTCTTATATATAACATATCAAACATCCCCTCCCCAGAGAAAGCTTACTTCTCCTAGATTACGGTCAGTTGTTTAAATCAAACTGTACCACACAAGCGCACGCACACACACACACACATTGTGAGAGGTCATATAGAAGAACCTAGTGTAATTTAGCACTTCCCTAAAACTTTATGTTAAATTAGATTGGTATTATTATTATTATTATCATTACTAATTGTGCTATTGTTACTAGGTAGTATTTCACTTGACCTACTTTTCGAGGATTATCAATCATGATTGACAGACCTCATTAAACTAACTAGTCGAGTGTTAATCATACATAGTTTCCAATTGACATATGAATAAACACCTATAGAAATGCAGATAAAAGTCTTAAAAATGAGATTACAATTAATAAATCCTTCATTTACACTTAGGATTATATTTTTCTCTTTTTTTTGGATTATATATTTGTTTCGCCATTGAAGAGGATAGTCGAAAGAGGATGAGGTTGGGGTTAATGTTAGACATAACAAAATAAACCTTTTTTTTTATCTTGGTTGGTTTCACAACAACTTACAACTTCAGTAATTTAAGAGTTAGTTTGTACAGGTTTGATTTGTTTGAAGTTTGACTACGAACTAACATCATTTAGAGGACCATTGAAAATTAGTAGGGAATACCCGACAAATGTTTCTTCAGTTTAGTTTGGGACTCATTGGCGGCATTAACCCACCGACAGGGTTTAAACCCAGGACATTCCAGTTACGAGTCAAGCCCGTAGACTATTCAGTCACGTTAGGTGGTTTAACAAGATAAGTAATGTTGACGTTAGGCGTAGAGTGTTGGGCAAACAGGGAAAATCAATCGACGAGGCTATTAAGTTACATAGACTAAGATGGCTAGGTCACGTGCTGCGCATGCCTAGCCATCGTCTCCCCCGACGGGCTTTGCTAGCTGATATAGGTTCAGGTTGGAAAAGAGTAAGTGCTGGCCAAACAAAAACATGGCCTCATCAATCCATGAAATCCTTGACAGTTAAACTGAGTCGGTCAGGTAGGGAGATGCAGACTTCCGGATTGGGGCCCTCGGGACTGACTCTAGAAATCAATGGCTGGAGACAATAGGTGACATGGCTCAAAATCGTTGTCAATGGCCAGCGCACATGTATTCAGTCTCTGTAATCTTTCATATTCCTTTCTACCATTACCCATTCTGTTTCACTCTTATACTTGTGAAACTCTATTGATTCTCTTCACTCATCTTCTTGTCTACCTCTGTGTTCTATTTGGAACGTGGCAACTGGAACTGGTGCACTTCGGTGACAAATTCTATGTTGAATCCAGACAGACAGATTCAGTCATTGGGACCTGACTCAATGACCGACCCATGAATTCTTAATTCTACTAATTCGTTATTTCAGTGCGACCACCAGCAGATGTCATCGGCGTATATTTGTCCTCACTCCCGACCGGGTAGACCCCAATAGTCACGACTGCTGACTAGAACTCCAGGTGAATTCATGACAATGGTTGGTGGTCACGCTAAAATGACGAATTGGTAGGAGTTTGAATTCATCGGTCACTGAGTCACAAGTGCAGTCAAAGCAAACAAAGGCACAAAAAAGGGATTCGAAAGGACTAGGATAAGCAGAAAATTGAGGCAAAAAGAGGTAGAACGTGGGGAAATTTTAGAATTTAATGAATGTGGTATGCCACGAAGAGTGAATGCATCTGAGACATCGAGAATGATTTTGAGCCATATCACCAAATAGTCCGTAGCCATTGGCTCTTAGAATCCCGACAACCTTAACCAGGAAGCCTCCACCTCCCTAGGTGGCTGACTCAAACTAACAAACTCAAAGATTTCATACACTGATTCCATCTTTTAATTTGATCATCAACAGCTCTTTTCCAGCTTAATCCTATGTAAGCTAACAATGCTCGTGGAGGAAGACGAAAGCTAAGAATGCGTAACACATGTCCTAGTCATCTTAATCGATTCACCTTCACAACCTCATCGATTAACTTACCCGGACTGTCTAACACTCCGTGCTTAACATCAATATTACTCATTCTATTGTATCATCTAATATAGGAGATAGAGTGCAGGTACCTATGATCAAAGACAGCTACCTACTTCATGTCTTCTCCATTCAATGACTATGTCTCACCGACAGCTATAAAGGAAGATGGAGAGAACTGATGAGCAGAACACATAACCTTTCGTCGATAGTCATTTGGATATTACGTCGACGCCGGAGATGATGTAGGTTGGACAATCCCATATGAGCCTTTTGTATTCACGATGGGGATTCCATCAGCAATCAGTCAGTGAGTGAGTTGGGGCTGATGCAACTTCCCGAATAAGTGAAATGGTCAACATGCTCTACCAATTCACACCCTATTTTTCAGCTACGAGTCAATGATGTAATCGAGTGCTGTAGCATCATCTTACATTTGATAGGAGTGGATCTCATGTCAAACATTCAAAGATGGCTGTTCAATGTGTTCACAAGACCCTGCATTTTATCACAGCCTTAACATGGAAGGACTATATCACTCATTTATTCTAAGTGAACAAGACTATCCATTGGCAACAATTCAATCCGTAAGTCGCTGAATTCAGTTAAAATCAATTCCATTAGTACATCTATGACGAAACTAAATAGTAATAGTCAGCTAGCAAATTAAACAAGCATTAGGACTGTATCCCTTTGGGATCAAAACAAATCCCCTCACACACCACCATATGCGGCCACCAAGCACTCCATCATTGACTACTAAAAGATAAGTAAAGAAATATATAGACATTTTATACAAAATAAGGGTTAGAGGGAAACAAGGAAGATTTCATTTCATTTTTATAAATCTCATAACCAATATTACCTCCATAGCAGCAATTTTCAACTCCATCAATGAAGTATTCGGAGGAAATAGATTCTTTGAATCAGCCAAAGTTATTCTGCCTAGATTAATATCATTATTTGTATTACTATGATTAGAATTATTCATTGTAGTATTTGAATAATAATAATAACAATAATCGGATGATTTTTGTTCTTGTTGTTGCTGTTGTTCTAATCTGTTGTTGGCGTCGTTCGCTATTCGATTCTCTTCATCACACGAATAAACTGAAACTTTAAACAAGAGAGTAAAAAACAAAATATAAAGGTATGATTATTTATACTTGCAGGAGTTTCATTCAATAGTAGATAGATTTCATCACGAATTGAAATCACCCAGAGTATCAACTGAAACTACGAGTCAATGAATGGATAAATCGTATTAGTATTGACATTTACCACCAGTATGCACTCGTTACCCAATAAGTGAACGAGAGCGTTTTCTGCATTCCTTAGTGTACTCATTGTAACGTCATGTTTTCAGCTTCAAACTTTGAAGTTTGCGAGATTACTACTAGTCTAACTATGTTTAGGATTGCGCCAGCCAGGAATCTGTCTGTCTGTCTGCCTGTCAGTATTCGACATAGAATTTTGCACATATGTGCACCAGTTCAAGTCGCCACACTTCCTCCGTGTAGCACGCGAAGCAAGAGAAGAAAGTACAAGAAAAGCATAATACAGACAGTAAGCAGAGGTGTGAGACAAAGGAGTAATAAAGAAAAACAAAACAGTTTCATTGGAGATCATAAGTCACAAGGAGTGGATGCATCTGCGCCACTGAGAACGGTTTTGAGCCATGTCACCAATTGTTTCCAACCATAGATTTTTACCGTCCCGAGGACCCCAGCCTGGAAGTCTACACCTTCCTACGTGGCTTAGACTAACTGTTGTGGATTTGATTGACTGATTCCATGTTTTGGTTTGACCGCCGCTAGCTTTCTTCCAGCCTGACCCTATATCCGCTAACATTGCTCGTCGAGGGAGGCGATGGCTCGGTATACGTAACACATGTCCTAACCATCTCAGTCTTTGTAACTTCATGGCCAGGAATCGGACTTAGACCACGTTTCGTGAGTGTGCGGTGAGCATTCTATTCCCATTGGACCACTGAGAGGATAGTTCAACTGTTAAACTTTCAGATGAACACCTCAGGCATACCATCATATAACTGCAACACTTCAACACTGAATTCAAAATTTTACTTAAATGGGCGGATCAATGGGACAGGAGATCGCTTGAGCACACTATTGAAGATAGCCACACTAACAAGATACAGCTATCAAACAGAAACTTTTCTCAGAAAGAATTTTCTCACACTTTGATTGGGTGACTTAAATAGTTTTCAAATGTTGCTTTGTAAGGATGTGATTGATTTCAAGTTTCATCATGGATTGACATCAGTTAGAATGCTGTTTCGTCCCAGTTGACGATTTATCAGCATGAACCCATCGGGATCGAATCCAACATTATCAGGTTACGATGCAAGCACATTGACCATTCAACTATTGGGAGGAATCCATTGCCTAAGAATTCTAACTTCTGTCAATTCGTGATACATAGCACTACGCCTAGTCAGTGCCTTCGATTGTGAATTATAATGACTGACTGATTTCAGTGTAGAACCATGCACAAACGTGTACGAGTTCGAGTTGTCACACTTTACTCAGCATGCAAAGCAAGCGAAGCAAGTAAAAAGAAATGCAAAATAGAGACAGTAAATACAGATATGAGGCAAACAGAATATTAATATTGAAGAACTATAGAGTTTTATTGGATATTAGAAATTACAAGGAGTGGACGTATCTGCCCCAGCCATTGAGAACGATTTTGATCAATATCACCGATTGTCTCCAGCCACTGGTGTTCACCGTCACGAGGACTCTAACCAGAAAGCTAGTCTACACCTCCGGACGTGACTGGTTGGCTCAAAATAACTGTTGTGGATTTCATTGACTCAAGAAGTCATGTTTTGGTTTGACCACCACTGCCTCTTTTCCAACTCGACCCTATGTCAGATAACATTGCCCGTGGTCGAGAAAGGCGATGGCTAGGCATCCGTAGCACATGTCCTAACCATCGCAATCGATGTAACCTCACAGCCTCATTTATTGATACCCTCTCCTTACCTAGCACTCGACGCCTAACCTCAACAATGCTTACCCTTTTATACCACTTCACACGGGAGATAGAACTGAGACACCTATGATTAAAGACAGCTAACCTTTTCATGTCTTTCAATTTCAATAAGCAGGTCTCATTGCCATAAAGGAGGGTGAACTACACTACACACTCAAAAAACGTCCATTAAGTTTTAATCTATCATTATGTCATCTGAAATACACAAGAACTTCTGAGGTCACTGGATTTTGCTTGATTTATTAGCTGAATGTCTGTCTGTTTTCGACATAGAACTTTGCACGAATGTGCGGAAGTTCAAGTCGCCACATTCCGTGTAGCATGCGAAGCAAGAGAAGAAAGTACAAGAAAAGCATAATACAGACAGTAAGCAGAGGTGTGAGACAAAGGAGTAATAAAGAAAAACAAAACAGTTTCATTGGAGATCATAAGTCACAAGGAGTGGATGCATCTGCGCCACTGAGAACGGTTTTGAGCCATGTCACCAATTGTTTCCAACCATAGATTTTTACCGTCCCGAGGACCCCAGCCTGGAAGTCTACACCTTCCTACATGGCTTAGACCAACTGTTGTGGATTTCATCGACTGGTGCCAAGTTTTTGCTGAATGGTAACGTTCTTGCCTTGTAACAAGAAGCTACTGAGTCCAACTCCATGTGGATCCATCAGTGTGTACCGATGAAGACTCTAAAAACTAGGACAAAACAACTGTAGTTTTCACTGATTTTCTAACGAAGATATCTGTCCATGATCGAACTTGAAACATATCAAATCCCTACATATTTTTTCTTATCTGAATTAGCCTACTTTACTCAGATTGGCCATCACCCTTCAAGGTAATTTCCTTGTACGACTGTTGTTTAACCTAATAGTAGGGGAAGGAAATTCATTATAAAAATCCCATTCTAATATATAGGACATGATAACTTGATGTAGAAAACACGAGTTGCATTTTTTTTATAGATAGAAATAAAATTAAATTTTAAATCTTCCCCTTTAATTAGACGCCATCTGTTAACAAATAAAAGGAAGAAAAGTCTATGAAAAACTCTTTCCTCGTATTTTCGACAAATAAATTAGATAAACATATAAATGACTACGAATACAACTAAGAAACAGATGTTATCTATCCTCCTCCTGTAATGTTGAAGAAGATAAACACTGGCCTCCGCTTCACACGGTCAAGTTAAATTTCAAAAACACCACTAACTACCAATCAGAGAAGAACCTTGAATCTCAGATACAGATACGGATACAGAAGGCTAATTTCGCATATGCCAGTTTACGCCATCTCTGGCTTAGTAGACGTGAGATCCGGCTATCGACCAAAGGACATGAATAATGCCCAGCGCAGTAGATTGCTTTGTCCTCCTTTATGGCTGTAAGTGAGATATAGCCATTGAAAGTGGAAGACATGATAAGACTAGCTGTCTTTGATCATAGGTGTCTCTGTTATATCTCCCCTGGTATAATAGCGTGAGCAATATCGAGGGTAGACGTCGAGTTCTAGGTAAAGAAGCGAAATCAATAGATGAGGCTGTGAAGTTACAAAGACTGAGATGGTTAGGACATGTGTTACGTATGCCTAGCCATTCCCTTCCTCGACGACGGGTAATGTTAGCTGACATAGGGTTAGGTTGGAAATGAGCTAGCGGAGGAAAAACCAAAACATGACTTCATGAGTCAATGAAATCCACAACAGTTAGTTTAAGCCAGTCAGTCACGTAGGGAAGTGTAGACTTCCTGACGGGTTGGAGTCCTCAAGACGGTAAAAACCAATGGCTGGAAACAATTGGTGATATTGATCAAAATCGTTTTCAATGGCTGGCGCAGATGGATCCACTCCTTGTGACTTGTAATTTCCAATAAAACTATATTTTTCTTCGATATTACTACTCCTTTTGCCTCATATCTGTCTTTACTGTCTCTACTTTGCGTTTCTTTTTACTTCCTTTTTCTTCTACTTCTCTGGCTTTGTGTGATGAGTGAAGGGTGGCGACTCGAACTGCTGCATATCAGTGGAAAGTTATATTTTGAATGAATAGTCCAATGAGTTTCGTTCACGTGAGCTGAAGGTTCCTATTCCGCTTGATTTGAGTCAAATACCTGCTCTAACGCAGTCACGCTTGCAGTTTCGTGTGGATAAAGTTTTCCAGTATTGTTTGGTTGTGGGGTATCTTAGGTAGGAACGGATTTGTTCATGTGAAGGTATTATGAGTATTAAAAATACTCATCAAAAGGTGAGCAGTTAGGCAAAATAATCGATTCTTTTAAAATATGACTACTGAAAAATGGAAAAGAAACCTCAGAAGACTGCAAAAATGTAGCCTACAACGTCTCTGAAGTACTTGCTTCTATATAAGGGGGCCAGAAAGGAGAGGACTACTAAGGAGTTTCACTGAGAAAGAAAAATGAATTATGAATCTACAGGGAGTTTAGAGACCAATATTTGCGTAAAGTATATCGAATCACTGCCCACACGAAGTTATAATGTTATGAAAGGTAGGATTCTTAGACCAGAAGAGTTAACGAAGTAAGAATTCAAGTGTTGGTTTTTGCGGGGATTTGATTACTTTCAGGGCATCATTATGAACTGACGTCGGTTAGAGGAGCATTGGAAAACCTGGGAGTACTGGACAGTCGTCTCGTCTTACTCTGGGACTCTTGGAAAGTACGCATCCACTGAGGTTGGAACCCAGGTCCTTCTGGTTACGAGACAAGCTCGTAGACCATTAAGACACTGGGGCCCGACCCAATGGTCCACAAATTCAAGCTTCTGGAAATTCATGATATGACGCGACCGATAGCAAATTTTATAGGCGAGTATTTCCCCTCACACCCAACCTGCTGTACCCACTGTTCACGACTTCCTACTAGAACTCAGGTAACTACCGAAGTTTCTCGTTATCTAGCTAGTCACCTGATCTCCAGTAATGAGAGAAGGTAAGTCTCAATGAAAGTGTGCATCCATACATCACATTTCTGTTTTGTGTCTGAATGGTTTGAATTATGGCTTCTTGAAATAATGCATATTTCAACATAGTTCTATGCTGATTCAACAAACCAGTCAGAATTACTCATATGGTATCACGCCTTTGATTACCTTTGATCATCGTTTAAAATTGTTATTCGCTTTCGACGTGTGTTTTGTTTTGGAAGTGTCGGACTACTAAATTTATGTGGCAACTTCTCCTTTTCCTACTGCATAATGACATTTCGGAATATCTTTCGATGGTTAAAAAAAACGAGTGTTTGCTGGAAGAATTACATAATATTGTCTCACGGTCTCCCCAGCCTAAATACCTACAGACAGACTTTCTACTGTATTTGTTGTATACACATACGTTGCATAGACATATCAGTAGAGACACATACACAGGAGTGATTTACATATAACCTGAAAATGGTAGCCAATCAGCAGTGAATGACCTTGGGGATGAAACTTAGTCACTGCATGCGTCACAATACCATCAGACCGCCTACGTCTTTTCAAAATCTATTCATACTTAATATAGACGAAAAATTAGGGATGGTGTGAATACAATAACAAATATGGAAAGTATTACGTAAAACTAGGCCAGTAAACAACTATAATACACTTAATATAAAAGGTCATCGAATTATAAACATCTGAAATAAAAGTTTGTTAGTTAAGCCAAAGTAGATAGGAGAAGAATGAAATAAGATTTTTAAGTGCTGATTATTAATAATTGCTTAAATGCAGCGAGGAAGTGGTTGAAGAAGAACTGCGTAATCTTCGAAAAACCCTGATGGAAAACGGTTTCCCGCCCAGGTTCATAGAAAAGAATCTCAAACCTAAGAAGACTTCTGAACAAGTCCAATCCGTCCCAAAGAAAATGCTTCTGCTTAATCTAGAATTCAAAGGTGATATTGAAGCAGAAATCCTTCGCAGACGCCTCTCAAAATCGCTGAGGAAAACATACTTCACCGCTAGCCTACGACTGACGTTTTCCTGCAAGAAACTGTTCAGCCAGAACGCGAAAGACAAGCTGTCGCATTGGGCCACCTCAACGTGCATATACCAGTTTACTTGCTCTTGTGGAGCTGAGTACGTTGGCCGTACCATGCGCCGACTTGAAAAACGCGCTCGTGAACACTATCCAGCCTGGCTAGTAAAAGGAGAACGAAAACGGGTAAATAGTTCGGTGACAGAACACCTGGTGAATTCAGGACATTAAGCGCCACTCGAAAAATCCTTCAAAATCATTTACAAGATTCGATCAAACCCATCAAAGGGAGTAAAATCAAGACATCTGGGCATAGCCGAGGCGCTAGCTATACAAAAGCTCAAACCCACGCTCTGTATACAAAAGAAATACGTCCAACCCCTGTCCTTGCCATGGCCATCATAAACAGGTAATTTTTAGTAATCACCATCCCATCGCCTTTCTTATCTAAACTTCCTGTTTATTCATGTTATTTCAAGTTTTTCTTAATCCCTGTCTACACTACCATATTTTCATACCCGAACTCAGTGTTTATTTTGTCATTTTACTATTTCCACACATTTAATCCCTGATTGCACAAACAATTATTCATCACATTAGTTTTTATCCAAACATCCTTTCTATTTTGTTATTTCTACATTTCTAACCCCTAATTGCACAATGTCAGTCTTCTTAGTTATTATAATGCTACTTTGTTTGTTTTATCCATCCCCCTGTTTATTATGGCATTCCAATTCCCAATTTTAATTTTTATTAATTTGACCCTTGACCGGATATTATTCTGGAACTTTCCCATCCATTTGATATAAATACACGAATGTACAGCCTAGATGATGACTTCGTCGAAAAGAAAATTTTCTTCGCTGCAACCGTCTTCTTAATTGCTTAATTTTGAAGTATTGCTTTACAGGGATTCGATTGATTACAACTTTGATCACGAAATTAAGTTCAGTTAGAAAACGACAGAAAGCCAATAAGAGGTACTGGGCAGCTGCTTCATCTTAGTTAATTTTTTTCATATTTTTGATTACAGCTTCATTCCACACTGTATTTTTGGTACAGGTACGGAATTTTCAGCACGTGATATCGGTAGCCAAAATTTTGCAGGCCGACCATAGATATCAGGTGTGCGTCGGCAGAGGATCGAACCCCGGACCATGTGCATGATCGGCGAGAGTCATAACCACTGTGCCACCGACGCACAGTTTGGCACTCTTTAGCAGTGCACCCTCACGACCCTACGAGGGATAGAACTCAGGACCGTCAAGGTTACATGGCAAACACGTTTAGCCACTGAGACGGAATTCAACGGCCCAAGAATCCTAACTTCTGTGTATTTATTTGATATGTAGCTCGACCACTAGCCAATGTCATCGGTGAGTACCTATCATCACAACCAACTTTATAGATTCTGCTGGTCACGACTTCTCGTTAGAACTTCAGATAAATACATCCTGTATTCATTCACTAGTAAGTACTATAGCCCCAAACTGGGACGAAATAGCTGTCGTGTCATTTCTGGCTTTCAATGGTTCTCTAGCTGTAATCAGTTCGTGGTAAAACTTGAAATAGTTACCTATAAGGTATATTTTGTTACTGTCGTAGATAAGGGTAGAGAAATAAGATTGTGTGATCTCTGATTTCTACTCTTGGTCTCCTGCAGGGAGAGGGTTACTGCGAACACAGCATATCATCGAAAAACCGAGTGAGATCAAACTAAACTCTTTACACATTTATTTACTCCTTTACTCAAACATACATGTACATGCTCGTATATGTAAATGGATAAAGCCCTTTTAAGTAGTGCTATCTGTTGCTAGCTCCAAAAGAGCAGTCGAACTTATAGATGCACATTGGAGATACCTATAGCTAGTTGGTTGAATAATGCTTTGACCGAGAAGCAGGATACCACTTTACTTGCAGTGAAACTTCTCCAAACCGATATGTTCAGTCGGCAACTCTGACTCTGGGATATCAGTGGTAATGTTACCTATGAAACTTGATCTGATATATAACATTGTGGAGATAACTTCAGGACCGGCATTTTTCACTGCCTACCACAGTATGAATAGTCTTGTGAATAAAAATCTAACAATTACGACTGAAAAATATGACAGATAAATTCCGTCAAAATTATGACAGTCCATTACCCAACAAAAATGTTAAGAGATATAAGAGTGACTAGTTCCTACTGATACCATTTAAAAGCTTGAAGTAAAACACACCCAGTGGAATGCAACATTATGACTTCTGGTAGTCCTAAATAAGAACAAACAGTTCAGGGAAGAGACTTATTTCGACGAAATCATCTATTTACCTGTAAAATTGCAATTATACATAGTTATTTTTTCTATGATTAATATTGTGTAGCCAAAGCATAAATATAATAAGATGAGTAGTATTTAGGTTGTATGTCGAGTGTTAAATAAGGAGAGAAATTCAACCAATGAGACTGTAGGGCTACGTTGATTGTCATAGCTAAGATATATGTTACGCACGCCCAGCCATTGCTTACCTTGTGGAGCAATATTGACTGACTGACTGGTTTCACGGTAGAACTTTGCACAGATGTGCAGCAGTTCAACTTGCTACACTCCCTCCATGTACCACACAAAGCAAGAGAAGAGAGTAAAGGGCGGTTCAAAAGACACAGTAAACAGAAGTGTGAGTGAGGGAAAAGGAATAGTAATATGAGGGAACAATAGAATTTTATTGGATAATATAAATGACAAGGAGTGGATGCATATCCGCCAGTCATTGAGAACGGTTTTGATCCATATCGCCAATTGTCTTCAGCCTTCATTGGTTTTTACCATCCCGATGATCCTAGCCAGGAAGTAAGTCTACACCTCCGGACGTGGCTGGGTGGCTTAAACTAACTGTTGTGGATTTCATTGACTGATGAAGCTATATTTTGGTTTGACCACCACTAGCCCTTTTCCAACCTGGTCCATCCTATGCTAGCTAACACACCCCATCGAGGAAGACGACCGCCAGGCGAGTACAACACATGTCCTAACTATCTCAGACGATTTAACTTCACAACCTCATCAATTGATTTCCTGAGTAATGGAAAGATTTAAAGATAATAAGATCGAACAAAACCTGGCATTAGTCCATGAGGTTTTTTGAATGTGAGTTTAAGACATGTAGACAGATGTAGACTGTCTTCTAACTACGGATTTTGACGTGTTGGAGACTGTTGGTCACATGACTTAAAAATTCACCTCAGTGATGTAGATGCATTCCCTCTATAGTTTCCTAAATCCATTGAATGCACATGATTCTTTATGTTGGCTGTTCTTTCTCTCGTACAGTTCCATTCACCATAGTTCTTTTGAACTCCATTTTTTTCTCCTCTCCTTTTGTTTGTTATGTGAAATGTAGGGATTTGAACTACTACACTTCTCTGTTATGCTCTACGTTGACAACTTTGTCAGTCAAATGCATAAGGAATAAGTATATAAGCTTTTTGTACTGATGGAAACCTGTTTACCGAAGGCCTATAGAATAGAATTTGGTTTCTGACTGAAGAAATGTCCAGTAAAACTACCTTTTGACATGAAATTCATCAAATAAAACCTTCTGTATCGTAGTAATAAGACTTTTAGTTTCGGTTGTAAGAAAACCTTCAGCCCTGTAGGATAAGTTATAATGCACAATGTTTCAGGAAGGATTTCACCCACAATATCCTTCCCACACACAAAAAAGGCAGTATAGTCAGTTTTCTGGTTGTCTGAATGAAACCCTCCAACTGCTGTGCCAAAAATCAAATAACATGCACAAGTGCTAATGAATGAAAGGGAATCAAAATGAAGTGCTTACAAAGCAACTGTTGTGTGCTATGTTCATATCTGAGTGTGAATGTGTATGTTCAACGTAAATATGTGTATGCTTATATGTATCTGTTTGTAAGCTGTATAGAGGGTGAAATTAATTACGCTAAAGTTGGCAACTAATTAAACAAATAATTCAAATGTAACTTCGACAATAAATACTTTTATAGATAAGTAACCTCTCCCTATAAGACCACTAACTAAGTTAAAAATAAAATAAGATCTACCTCCGTCGCCAGTGTGCATTTATTATAACTGATTATTCGTTCATTCCATTTGTTCTGAGTAGAACATAAGACTTGGGAAGCACTCGGTTTTGTTGTTATGACATTCAACTGGCTCCACGACCACCTACCAGCTTTCATTCCCTCCTTCTCCTCTTGACATACAACAACCATGTCGGCTTCAAAACCACACCAAAAAATAGTCTCCCATTTCAGTACTAATCGATGGCCAGCCAGGTGTTTGATACCACTTGAAGGTTTCTTCAAGTTTTTTTTCCAAGTTTAGCCACGGACTAAAATCATCTAGAGAGCCATTAAAAAAGCCAGCAACGAATACTAAACAACTGTTTCGTCAATCTAGTTAGGGACCCATTGGAAGTACGCACTCACCGACAGGGTTCGAATCCAGGAACTTCCAGTGACAAGTCAACCTCCTAGACCATTGAGTCACTAGGACCTGACTTAATGACCAGCCCATGAATTCTAACTTCTACCAATTCGTTATTTCAGCGCGACCACCAGCCGATATCATTGGTGAATATTTGTCTTCACTCCCGATACAATGGACCCCAATGGTCACAACTTCTCAGGAGAACTCCAGGCAAGTTCGTCGTGCAACCAGTCACTAGCGACCATTAGACTAATTTACAAGAGTTACTTTGTAGGAATCTGATTTGTTCTAACTAATTTGTTCTCTAACGGACATTAATATGCTTTCAAAACTTGAAACAAAACAAAACCCTACAAACTAACTCTCGAACATCTCTACTTTTATGTTGCATAGGATTACACTAAAAAGTAAGTTGCCACTGAAAGCCACAAAACAACTCAACATTAGTCGGAAGCTCGCATTCTATGGCAATATTCTTAGTTTGACAACCAAATAGGAAACTTTATCGGTGGAAATCCGTGAGCATCAAGGGCTATTATTAAACATAACAGTAATTACTCCCCCCCCCAGTAACCAAACAATGTATCTAATCCAGTTCAACGTTATGATCAATTACAGCCTGGAAGTCTCTTAAGTATCACTGGGTAAAGTAGATTCGACTGTCATTTAGAAGTTACAAAAGGTGTTTGAAACTTGAAAGTTACAACTCCAGAAATCTAACAACAAAAGATACATCCTTTTAACATAGAAGAAAAACATTTAAGAGACTGGAAACTAGTTTCTTCAAAATTAGATAAAAAGCAACAGAAATTCTGATGAAATCAATGTACTTCTCCTTAGTATACGAGGAGCATAACATCTCTTGACAGACAAATTAAGATATGAAATCATAATGACCAGCAAGGGAATTCAATCAGTGAGGTAATGGAGCTCTACCATCAGTTGGGATGCTTGGAGCATGATTTGAGTAGACTTAATCATCGTGTTCCTAGGCGGATAATGTTAGTTGACATCTAATTCATTTTGTAAAATATAAATTCAAATATAGTCAGAGGTAAACATAACGTCCAATTATGAGGTTGGTAGCTCTTAGTTTGAGCCACGTAGATAGGTGAAGAGTACAACAACAATAATTATGACTGCAACGTGATGGTAAACCACCTACACGGCTACCACATTGCAAACTTGACTGAGAGAATCCAGTCTGCATCAAACAAAGGAGTAGACGCATGATAATAGTTAGCGTCCAACCAAAATATCCAATAGAGCCAGTCCCACAGGAGGTTAATCGCCAGCCCAAACAGCTCAATGGTGACTTCTCTGGCTGCAGCACCGAGTGACATGGGTTCGAGTATCAGAACGGACATGACTTCACTTGCAAGCATGAAACCTACCGAATACCTCTAACCATCTAGTAACAGACGCAGATTCTTTATAACATGACTCAAAATCGTTCACAACAGCGCAACTGGATTCAGTTCTCGTCATGATCCAGCTTCTGAAAAATCATAATCATCTTCACTTAATTATTGTCCTTCACGTACGCCTTCATCTACTGTAGTTTTTTTATTACAGCTACGCTCTACTTTGTGTTGCACTTTTTCAAAGTGTCATAATTGCAAATAATGCACTTTTGTCCAAGCCTCGACGCCCTTAGGTTAGCCATTATTATTATTATTATTATTTTAAACGGCGTTGATTTGAGCCTTAGTATTTTAATTTGTCAAGATACGCCTATCGGTAACTTATTACAGTGCAGTGATCAATACGTCCGTAACCAAGTTTGCATAGGGAAACAGTTGTTTGCTCTAAATGGGGGTTTTCGCTACCACACTTCTGTGACACCTAATCACTGCAATGCATTAACACAATTCAGAGAAATGACTCAAACCCCATTCCGAAAACTTAATACCACGTAGAAAAAGAAAGGTGAACAACTATAGAAGATTAAAACACAAGGTGTGATAAGTACAGGAATATTGCGACCCCCCCCCTCTCCTCATCCCCATGTGTATGAAACATCACTTGGTATAGATAATACTGGATTAATGTACGCACAATAAAAAACACATGGTTTAGGGCTAGAATGCTCACTAGAAACGTGGGAGCTCAGGGTTCGACTTCACACCGACACACACTTTGATTAGTTGGGCTTCAAGCTAGAGAACTTTGAAGTTTTCGTAGCAGTCTGTCTGTTTTCGATATAGAACTTTGCACCTATGTGCATCAGTTCAAGTCGCCACACTTCCTCCGTGTAGCACACAAAGCAACAGAAGAAAGTAGAAGAAAAGCATAATACAGACAGTAAACAGAGGTGTGAGATAAAGGAATATTAATAACGTAGAACAAAACAGTTTCATTGGAAATCATAAGTCACAAGGAGTGGATGCATCTGCACTGTCTATTGAGGACGATTTTGAGCCAAATCACCAATTGTTTCCAACCATCGGATTTTACCGTCCCGAGGACCCCAACCAGTCAGGAAGTATACATCTTCCTACATGGCCAGCTTAAACTAACTGTTGTGGATTTCATTGACTGGTGACATGTTTTGGTTCGACCTCCGCTAGCTCTTTTCCAGCCTGACCGTATATCAGCTGGCATTGCCCGTCGAGGAAGGCGATAACTAGGCGTGAATACGTAACACATGTCCCAACCATCTCAGACGATGTAGCTTCACAGCCTCATCGATTGATTTCCCCTCCTTTCCTAGCACTCGACCTATGCCTAACCTTAATATTGCTCACTTTATTATACCACTTCACACGGGAGATAGAACGCAGGCACCTATGATCAAAGACAGCTAATCTTTTCATGTCTTCCACTCTCAATGGCCATGTTTCACAGCTGACCATAACAGAGGACGGAGCGGACTGATGAACAGTGCACTCGCCCTTTGGTTGGTAGCCGGACATCACGTTTGATAGCAGTGGTTCTATTTTAACGAGGTGGGGTTGCTAGCCTCGTGCCTAACCTGCTTTCTTTACAGGCTTAATGAAGTTTAGGAGTGCGTTAGTCAGGAATCGAACCCTAGACCATTTGAGTGATTGGCCTGTGTTCTGCTGATGAACTACCAACAAATCTGTGTCCATCAATAAGAAACATCAATTAAAAACCAAATAAACACATACATGATATACACTAGTAATTTACACCTACCTGAAGATTTATCATATCCATCACCACTGCCACTGCCACCAACATGACTACGAGAAACGATACCATTACTAGATGATGAAGAATACGATAGAAAGTGATTTGAATCATGGTGATGATGATTACTGTTATTATTATTATTATTATTATTATTATTATTATTATTATTATTATTATTATCAGAATGATTCTCATCATTCTCAGTACCATTCATATTATATTCTTCTTCATCAATTTCTTTACCAGTCTGATTTATTGATGAATCCACTTCTTCATAAACAGTATCACTATACAATATTCTAATTAAATGTGTTAATATTTGACGTGTACACTGAGCTACATATGTATTTGTAAGTTGAGATGACTGTGAAACATTAGGTATATATTGTTGAATAGTATTATCATTACTATTAATATTATTAGCTAACCAGTTTGTATCAGATTTAGCTAACCAATTTGATAAAAAGTTATGAAATGCATGAATTTCTGATTGATTCATATTCTCAGTGAAATTTGCTTCTGGATGATGCCAAATCAATAAACTGAGTAAAGCTTCAATGACGTCTTTACGACTATTGACAATTAACTGTTTCGACTGATATTCATAAGAATTATTATTATTATTATTATTGTTAATACTGTTATTGTGGTTAATTAGTTGGTTTGATCTATACCTAGAAGGTGTGATATTTGAAAATTGATACTGAGAAGAGGTATTTGTAGTAGACAGTTGACTATACACAGGAATTCCACCAGTTTGAGGGTGTTGTTGGTACTGTGGTTGTTGATAAGGTTGTTGACTTTGACGTTGTTGTATAGGCTGTTTTCCGACTGGTATATTCGTCGTAGATGAATAATTATTTAACCGACTGGCACCACCAGATTCATGATCTTAAAAATGCAGAAAGAATAATACAATAAATAATTTTTGAAAAATGATTTTTAGCTCAAGGAACTACTCTGCTAAATACCAGACTAATATTGAAATTCATCCTTAGACAGGGACATCATTAACTTGGAATTGATGAAACATAACAGTTTAATACTTCCACTTTCAATCTGTGGAACACTGAACAGTTGCAAATACAAATAGTGAAAGTTGTTCAACAATGCACGATACTATATACTACTGATACATTAATATGAGTAGATAGATACAACAATTCACATCAGCGAGTAGTGCTCGCTAGCTAGTCACATCAAAGTGACCTAAACACTGGGCAGATGCTTCGCCTGTCTGGGGTCGCACTAACCCATCAACGGTGTAGGTGATTTGACTCTTCTGAGACAGCTACGGGAGATATCCAACTGCTTACATAAATCAATCATTGTCAGTTATGGTATCAACCAGATAACGTTACAAATTATGACCCAAATAATTTCGGTAGTTACTGGATTGATTATAAAGTAACAGTTGCATATCAGTTATCCCCAACGCAAAAAGATAAAACAATTGAGTGGAAACAAGGGTCTAAGTCAGTACCCAAGTTTTACCTTTCTGTAAACCTTGGGTTTCAAATGGAATAAAGAGATTCAAGCTGCGGAATTTTCAATATCAATGATGTTGATTTTACGAAGTGGAATTCCTTGCCCCAAACCCAACCATTCCTCTTTTCCAGCATTACTGTCGGATAATAAACAAAGGGGATTTGAAATACATCCGGCGGGAATTGAACCATGACCGCGAGTACGGTTAGCGAGTGCTTTATCATTGAACTAACGACTCAAGCTAGGTTTCTTTTCCTCGGCTAGTGCTTCGTTTATCTGGTAAATTATAGCCATAGTAAATCTGAGACAAACATGCTACATATTACAAGCCGAATCGGTTAAAGAATCACTAAAACTAGAAAATACTTCGCCGATGTTATATGTCTGATTTCCCACAAAGTGGAAGATATGCAAGTGAAAAGCAACAAGTTGGCAGACGAAGCATCAAAGATAGGACTTCAGGTGAATATAGATAAAACAGAGGTGATGAAGATTCCTGGCCAACAACAACAGCAACAGAAACAACAACAGACAACAATCACCCAGCATAAATGGGAGGAACCTGAAAGAAACAGTCTGCTTCACCTACCTGGGAAGCATCATTTCAACTACAGGCGAACGGAACTGACGAGGATATCAAAGCCAGAATCAGAAAAGCAAGACAAGCTTTCGCTACTCTCAAATCTGTGTGGAAGTCAACAGCACTCATCATCAAAAATAAGATCCGGATTCTCAACTCCAATGTGAAGTCAGTGCTACTCACAATACGGATCAGAGACTTGGCGCGTCATAAAGAGCGTCTCAAACAAACTTCAGCCTTCATTGACAGTTGTCTTCGCTCAATACTCAAGATCAGATGGCTGGCCAGAAAAGATCAGCAACAGGGATCTGTGGGAGCGAACCAACCAGGAACCGATTGTGAAACAAATAGGCAGGAAGAAATGGAGATGGATTAGCCATACTCTGAGGAAACAAACCACCAAGTGACATCACTAGACAAGCCCTCGAGTGGAACCCGAAAGGGAAGCGGCGAGTTGGTCGTCCAAGGGTGACTTGGAGGAGGTCATGTGAAGAGGAGATGAAAACATGTGGGCAGACGTGGAGCCAGGTGAAAACTCTAGCAGAGAACAGAACCAATGGAGACGCGCAGCTGAAGCCCTATGTTCCTCTAGGAATTAAAGGAAACAATAATAATAATAATCTTTTTTGTCCAAGTTTTGAGATCTTCTTGCTCAGTAAGAATTAACCACCTGACCGGAGATCAAACTTAGGACCCTGAAGTTATGTGGTGAACCTCTTGACCATTAGAAGAAACGAGCTTGAATTCAATGACTCACGAATTCTAACCTCTATCAATTTATGATAACGCAGTGTTATTAATCAATACCATAGAAAAGCATCTCCTTCACATAGGACATCAACTTCTGTACACATAATTCAGGCTGCATGAGATTGATTCAAAGAGCTCTCTATCGTTACTAACAACTTTAAATTAGAATTATAAGAAATAATTGAGGAATAATCATTGACGCTGATTGTGTCATCAGACACTAACGTATCTTACAGGATGAATACTACTGGATTTCTATTTAGATCAGATTAGGTGTATTCGAACTTTCCAAACGATTAAATAACCACTTAATAAAAATATCCTCTTTTTGACGAAATGGGAGTATGCTGCTAGTTTTGTTTAGGTGTGTCCTACAAATGGAAGTGAACGTGTAGATACACTGTGAAGTACTGACGGGAAAGCTTTGTATGGGTAGTTATTACCTCCGGTTGTCCTCGCCGTGGAAGTTTTCTTCTTGAAGTATGTGAAACAGGAGAAGCATTAGCGATGCGTAACCGTGGAGCCCCTCCGGGACAACTGCTTGAATCAACTTTCACACGGCTTGGTTGAAACGGCTGTGTCTGGATTGAGATCTTAACTTCGGCTAAAGACCACCGCAAGTTAAGTCGAGAAGTACAATTTCCAGGTCAACCTTTCCTAGCTCCCTTCTCCAGAGTGAAGAGGTACAATACCTGGCTTGCCAGTCGGACTGAGGGAACCACCTTACTGCTGTTATATCCTTATTCGTCAGCAGTACAACTCCACAAAGAGACCCCAAACATAGTGTAAACGATTTATATTGTGATGATAACTACTTTTGGTGCAACCACTATCCAAACGAATTTAATAGCACAGTAAATTCTGCAGGGACATTTATTTCAGTCAATGTAGCTCATCGGGTCGTTACGATATGCAGGCAAGAGCACGACTTTAAAGTAGTAGTCACCGGCCACATTATACTTAGTCTGGTGCAGATATGGTTTGAGCACTCAACTTTCAACCCATGAGTCGATAGTGCGGACTCCTCTCCACCTTTCTCGCAGCCTGAGAACAACTGAGTAGTACCACTAGCCTGAAGAAACCCCTGCTCCAAGTGACCACGTTTAAACAATATAATGAAAACAGTACACAAAAAATAAGCACAAAACTAACTTGGTATATGGTAGTTCAGGTGTTGATTTGGCTGTGTGTAACCATTCATGAGTGATGTATGCAGAGTATTACTATTAGTATAACCAATAGTGGGATTATGCATTTGATGAGCAGTACAAGAATGTTGTTGCTGTTGTTGTTGTTGAGTTGAATAATTCACATTGCCAGCTGTAGTAGAATCAGATGAACAGGTGGTCATTTTCATTTGCGCACCAGATGCCAGCGATGATGCTGATGAAATAGATGGTGATGGCGATGGTGATTCACGAGCATACTTACCTAACAGACGTTGATTTATTGCACAATCATCAACTGAAGTAGAAGTGGCAGCAATTGTTTTACCACTAGTCCAACTACCACTTCTAGGCGGTGGAGGCGGAGGACGAGGACGTTTCGTTGTTTGGTTGATATTAGAATCCCTTTGATTGTTTTGTATTTTTGGTAAAAATAAAAGAAAGGAAATATGTTTACTTCTGTTTAGTTCAAGTGTTGTCATAGATCTTATTTACCTTTCATATTGGTGAACATCAATTCATATTAAATTAATGTCCTTAAATTACCAGAAAGGATAAGAAAGTAACAAGGGACCCTGAAGTGCAACGCATTAACTAAGAACCTCTCATTCAACAAACATGCAGAAAGAAGTGGAGATGAATCGGACGCAAACTGGAAAGATATTTAAGTGACATCATATGCCCCGTAACCTCTCGAGATGAACCCCAATAAGAAACGAGGAGTTGATTGGAGGTCCAATGCAGGTGATCGTGTGAGAAGAATGAAAGCAAAGCCTATGAGTAATCGTGGAGCTAGCAAATAAAAAAGACTACAGAGAAGACGATGAAATGGAAATGTGCTGCTGAAGGCTTAAGTTACACTCAGAACCCAAAGGAATAATAATTATTATTATAATAAATACCTAAGATTAGCACGGTATAAGTTATACCCTATGAGATTTCGAGAGTAACTTAGTGGTTGATGGCGAGACTATCTGAGATAAGACTGTTTTTGGCGTAACGGATGGTGACTAAAAGGTGACATGGAAATCACATTTGCAGCAGGATTCAAACTACTGACCATTTGAATAACTAATCCCACTCTTTACAACTATCCCAATCGATGAAGTCTGTCAATCTCAAGGTTTTATAAGACAGTTACACTAACACACTACCAACCTAACAACCTTTGTCAATGTTAGTGAACATTGAATGTTTGTTTATTCGAAATGGTCTCCATTCGGCGGGAGACAACAATGGCTACCGTTGCTTAGTTGTGTGTTGGTTGGCAGAGGACTGAAGAAATATTGGATATTTTATTAACGTTTATTTACAGACTTTCCACGCAGTAACTTGGTGGTTTAGATGGTTGAATAAGGTAAGTAATTTTGACGTTAGGCGTAGAGTGTTGGGCAAACAGGGAAAATCAACCGACGAGGCTATAAAGTTACATAGATTAAGATGGCTAGGTCACGTGCTGCGCATGCCTAACCATCGCCTCCCCCCGCCGACGGGCATTACTAGCTGATATAGAGGTGCAGGTTGGAAAAGAGTAAGTGCTGGCCAAACAAAAACATGGCCTCATCAATCCATGAAATCCTTGACAGTTAAACTGAGTCGGTCAGGTAGGGAGATGCAGACTTCCGGGTTGGGGCCCTCGGGACTGACTCTAGAAATCAATGGCTGGAGACAATAGGTGACATGTATCAAAATCGTTGTCAATGGCCAGCGCACATGTATTCAGTCTCTGTAATCTTTCATATTCCTTTCTACCATTACCCATTCTGTTTCACTCTTATACTTGTCAAACTCTATTAATTCTCTTCACCCATCTTCTTGTCTACCTCTGTGTGCTATTTGGAAGGTGGCAACTGGAACTGGTGCACTTCGGTGACAAGTTCTATTGTTGAATCCAGAGAGCAGTAACTTGGAATTATGTTTCGTTGTCGGTGTAAGAATAAACAATCGTACTATCCAACCGTTTTCTGTTGTTCTGAGTTGGTTCCACAGTATTCTGAATGTTAGGCGTAGTCTTCTGAAAAAAAACATAAGTTGAGGACCTGTGCGATCTAGGCAACTGATAACTTTCTCTCATTCAAATAACATTGAAAATATAAGACCCAACTAGGTAGCTAGTGTAGTAGTGATGATGGTGATAAATGAACAGTAACGTGACATTGATTCATACATGGCAGTTGAAAATTACCCATCATGGTAACTGCAGTCAAAGGATATCCTGGTTGGGTTTTCTAACTTAACTGGTAGAGAGTCGGGATAGTAAGTAATTCAGAGGCCACTGGTTGAATTACATAGAGTTAATCCATCTACGCCACTTGTCAACGATTTCAAGCCAGGTCACTACCAGTCTCTAGTCATTGATTTTTCACGTCTCGAAGACACCAACCACACAATCTACACCATGGCATGGCAGGATTAAACCAGCTACCAAAGGCCTCATCAATTTACGCCACGTTAATATTGCTCAGTATAGGATACTATTCAGCACAGGAGAAAGAACGCAAACGGCTGTATTATTATTATTATTTCCTTTAATTCCTAGAGGAACATAGGGCTTCAGCAGCGCGTCTCCATTGGTTCTGTTCTCTGCTAGAGTTTTCACCTGGCTCCACGTCTGCCCACATGTTTTCATCTCCTCTTCACATGACCTCCTACAAATCACGCTTGGACGACCAACTCGCCGCTCCCTTTTTGGGTTGCAGACAGATACATACCTAGCCTTTTCATGTACACCCCAAAGCATACGCAGCATTGGAAGACCAGATATAAATAGTTATTGTTAGCATTTCTGAACACATTGCAGGGATTCTGAGACTAGAAAGATAATGGGTGTTACACCCTGTGATTGTATGTCACCTAGTAGACAGTAGACATACCGCGAATAACCTGATTTCAAAATAATTAACAGAGGAAAGAAACATAGGTTATATATATATATGGGTACTCATGTAAGCAGTAAAGAACAATCCGTGAACTGATACAAAAATAAGTTCACATTATCCTTCCATTGAAGGACTAATCACCATCAACGAGAGAAATTTATGGGAAATAATCTCTTTTACCTATCTATTCAGCATCGTTCCAGCTACAGGCGGTAGAGATGAAGATGTCAAGGACAGCCGGGATCTGAAATGCATGACACAACCTCATTAATTTGAAATCAGTGTGGAAATCTGTGACACTCAATATAAACGACAAAATTCGGATTTCGCGATACTAATGTACAGCCCGTCAGTCCTTCTGCATGATTCAGAGAATTGATGTGTGTAAGCCATCAAAAGCCTTTCGAACAGCCTGTTGCAAACTTTCATCAACAGATGCCTTCACTCCACACTGAAGATCAAATGGCGAGAAAGAAAGATAAGTAACAAAAAACTCTGGGACTGGACCTACTGTCTAATAAATATGCAGGGGGAAATAGATATGGATCAGACACAACCTGGGGAGACCGTCAAGTAAAATCACGCGACATGCCGAGTGAAAACCGAGGAAACGAAGAGTTAGGCTTCCGAAAGTGACATCAAAGAGACGGAAACTTATGGGTAATCGTGAAGCCAGCTAAAAAGAACTTCAGAGACCAGGATCCAATAGATATGTGTTTCTGAAGCCCTACATTTCATTCGGAATCCAGGGAAATAATAATAATGATCAATTCCGCCATGTATTTTGTCCTTATGGCATTATTATTCAAGTTTATCAATGGGGACGATTGTAGCTAAAATCAATACTTTCTACTAGATGTAATGCCTTCGACTAACAAAACCACAAAGCCAACACAATAAATACAACATCTAATCACTCCTTTCCTAATAGACATTGAATATATTAATTACGCAAAATTTCGACTAAAGTTGTCGTCATCATTGAAGTGAATAGATTATTTTCAACAACGACCAAAAAATCAATCTACCTTTCTTTCCCTATTTGTCTCGACAATAATAATACACATGAAAAATATAATGAGAGAGAGGAAAGCTTATCAGACGGAAAATAAATACGCACTAGGAGGATGACAAAACAAAAAAAGAAAGACAATAATCAATAAACTTGGAATAGATAACTTCTTTAGGAGGAAAGTGAAATAAATTCAGACTCAATATATGATTTAACCATTTTTTTGTAATTTCTCCTTGATAAGTCTAAACTGAATTATTATTACAGGATTTCATCATGAGCCGACATTGGTTAGAGAACTATTGGAAAACCTGGGAGTACTGGACAACTGTTTCATCCTAGTTTGGGACTCTTCATCAGTATGCACCCACCAGGATTCGAATTATTATCACTTTTATTATTATTATTCCTTTAGGACCTGGGTGAAATAAAGAGTTTCAACAGCACACCTCAACTTCATCCTCTTCTCTGCAGCCCTTTTCAGATGACTCCGTAACTGTCCATAAACTTTCATTTCCTCCTCACAGGATCTCTTCCATGTCACTCACGGACATAGGTGATAGGATCCCACATATTTTGGTATTGACTGTTAGTCTTGCATATATGGTATATTATCATTCTCACACATTTTGTTATTGACTGTTAATCTTGCATATATGGTATATTATCAACCTCACACATTTTGGTATTGACTGCTAATCTTGCATATATGGTATATTATCATCCTCACACATTTTGGTATTGACTGTTAATCTTGCATATATGGTATATTATCATTCTCACACATTTTGTTATTGACTGTTAATCTCGCACATATGGTATATTATCATCTCTCACGCACTTTGTTATTGGCTATTAAGATCAATTATTTCAAAGGCTGTTAGCTGTCCATATTGTTGTAAAATGTATAAATACCATGGCTTTCTTTGTCGTTGTTGCACTTCAATACACAGTCACAGTCCAGCCTTTGTCTTTTGATATTTGCGTGCTTGACTAAATCGGAAGGTACGACAAGCAGATAGGCAGATTAGTTCAGGCGCAGACAGAACCAGGTGACAACGTCTTCATTCAATTCCCTACAGTTATAACAAATTGGCGACGGGGTTTACCTTAATTCACTACAGTTATAACAATAGGAACAATCAGGTTGCACTCAAGGTTCAATATGACTCATAATGTCACTCCGCGGTCACCTCAGCGTATGCCCACCATCTGCATTTCCTTCAGCATGTTTGTTGAGTAGTATGTTTCTAGTTGACTCATTTTCACATTTCTTCGTTGTTAGCTTATGCTTTCTGGCTATCCGATCTTCAGTATACAGTGAAAGCAACTGCTGTTCAAAAGTCTGAAGGCTGTTTAATGTGCTTTCGGTGATGCACACTCCAAGTCTCTCAACTCTATGTAGAAGAAGTGACTGGCTTGATATTAGCGTGGAAAATTCAAATCGTGTCCTCCATGGTTAATGTGGTAGATTTCCACAGATTATTGAAAGTCTGTCTTGTTTTTTCGATCCT